CACATATTCAGTTTAAATTCAAAGAAAGTTAGATTATACTATTTACTACGTGTACAAAATAAGATTAATGCCTGAGAAGATATTGAGTTTTTGAAAGTTTGTTTTGTAAGAAGGATCAGATCGGAGTCAAAAGTCATTAAACACTGCATAATTATTCTGTTTCATTTTTCAGATTATCACGAGGTGGTGAAGTATGGCGTAACTTCTGTTCGGCTAATATCCAGCGGCTTCTTTGAAAATTCCGTGACAGTGCAAGTTCTACCGTTGAAGAGCGAGTTACTAGACGCGAACCTCAGCATCTAATCTCAGCAGTATCTCGTAAAACGAGCCTCGTTATGTTCGTCGATGCTTAAACCGATTTGAAAACATCATCGCCAATATGTTTATTATCGAATGGATCAGAGTTCCCTCAAAATTCTAGGCGTCTTCCGAAAACTTTTGCAAACTGAATTCGTTACTCATTGATATCCCACTTCTATAGCGTTTGTAAACATACTTAGACCTTTGTTACGTATTATATATTTATATTGTTTAGTTAGATTAGGTACGAGTGGATGTGTTCCATTGTGAACTATCGTTTTTCATTAAGGATGCAGAAGCTCTGCATTCAAGGAAGGGAGTTGTTCAGATGTTAAACTAATTTTGAAGAAATGAAAAGTCAGAAATTGTCACAAATGAATCATAAATGTTCACTGAAAATACCGCAATAGCTTTCTTTCAACAAATGTCATTGGTTTCTTAAGTTCTTTTCTTTAGATAAATACAAGTAATACAAATAAAACGCAACGTAGAAATTTTTGATCGTTTTAACACTAAACGTACCAAGCGGGGTCAAATGAGACCCCTTTTCAAAATTTACTTTAAAATCGTACATTCGTTGTTCTTTCGCTAAACTGACTTTTTGTAAATTCTTATATTATCTGATTATTCAACTTCTCGTTTTCTGTTTTTCTCTTAGCTTCATTTTTTTTACCAAGAAAAATTCTCTGCATACCTTATGTACCGCGAGGGATCACCGAGAAAAATTCTTTGCATACCTTATGTACATTTGGCCTCTTATGGTAAGATAGGTATATGTAAAATGCCGGTACGTTTAGTGTTAATATCTTACATTTGAATAACTCTCCTTACGAGAAATATGTTCTGTTCTTAGATTGTATTTTAATTAATTCCGAAATAATTGATGATATTTGATATGTCGTGCGATTTGTGATAAATGGATTTAAATACTTGTTGAGTGTGTAGATCAATCTTAGCGGCTTAGAAGTACATAACTAAAGAAAGGCCTCGAGTTTTTATTCTTGTAGAGGAACATGCGAAATATTGGTGAGGACGTGCCAATTGCTTTTATCGAATCAACGTTACTCGTACAGGCATTATTTATTTATTATCGATAGATCTCTAGCGACAGCATGATTTTTTTCTTTGTTATAAACAATGTGCTCGTTCGTCTCGAATAAAGTATTTCGTTTGAAACACCTGAGGTCAAAAGAACTTCGCCGTCTAATTTTAACGATGCGACAAATTAGAATTCTAGAAATCGTAGAATCGTAGAGATTAAGCTGAGTAAATAATCGAACTGAATATCTATTTTAAATGAGCAACAGAGCGAAGATATAATAAGGAAATGGAATTTATTTATCTTTAAGAATTCAATTGTTTAAATTTCAAAAGGATATTCTCTGGTAGGAAGAGATCGTTCCAATTAATTATGCATATTCTTTTGAAAATAAATCAGAATGGATCCCAAGTGAAAAGATTGATCGGTTTTGCTGTCCTTTGTCAATTCCCCTGCCTTCCTCGTCGAATAAAGTACGAAGAGTTGCTAGGGAACCTGACGTATACACAAAACGTATCATGCGACTCGAAGCGAGACAACATGTGCTTTAGAATTTCTAACAGTTTTCTAAAATAATTGTTTCGATGTTAAAGTTAAGTGTTGCAAGGGATCGTCATGCTGCTCAAATATTTGGGCAATGTTATGCCACCATATGTGAGTATGCAGATATTATATTTGACAGGCAGTGTGTTTTAAAAATTATCCCACATCTCGCCCCATTGAGTAAACAATCAGGGCGAATAGAATGTAATGATAAACGTGTGTAATAAACATTGCGTAATTTATTTATGCTTTTCAATAAAATTATAATCTTGTAAAATCGTTCAAGTGAAACCGATAACAAAATAAACGCAGAACAAGAGAGCAAAGTATCAGACTGAACTACAATAACAAAATAAAAAGAAATACACAATATAAGATTTTTAAATGATTATAGGATTACGAGAATCGAGTAGTGGGTATTGTATGGTCGCCGAACAATTTAAAGCTAGCTGTCGCCTCCTCCGATCGTTACGTTTATCTCTTCGATGAGAATTGCGTGAAACGGGACAGGTTCTCGACGAAACCGGTCGATTCGAAGGTAAGAAGATATTAAGTTTGCCTTTCTTTCAATTTCCTTTGATACTTTGATACAGTATTATAAAATTCCTCCAAAGCATAGTAACTTTACATTTTCTTTCACTGTATTCTTTTATTCCCTCCTTTCTTCTTTTTTTTTTTGACAAATTTTCAAAATTTGTTTCAGTTTGGCAAAAAGAGTTATGTGATCAAGGGTATTGCCTTCTCTCCAGACTCGACCAAAATAGCCGTTGGCCAGACAGACTGTATAATTTACGTTTACAAAATTGGGGAACAATGGTACGTGATGATAACAGTTGAATGACGAATGACATAGAAAGATTGTCTGAGTGTTTTCTTTCGAAGCATACATCTTTGTTTCCATACATACAGGGGAGAGAAGAAAGTGATTTGCAACAAGTTTCGCCAAAGTTCCGCCGTCACTTGCTTAATTTGGTTGACCGAGGGGCCAATTATAGTTGGCTTGGTGGACGGAAAAGTTCGAGCGGCGCTAGTGAAGTCTCAGAAAGCTCAGACACTCTACACGGCTGATTCAACAACAATTGCCCTGGCACCGAAGTAATCCATCTCTCGCTTCTCCTAATAACAAGTGGACTGCTAACTTTTCATTTGCTATACGTGTATATTATAGCAAATACTCTGTCATGAATACTTTAGGTTATTTTCGCGTCTTTTCGAATTTCCCACGAGCACATAAAAATTCGCGAATTAGCAGTGAGAAACGACTGTTCCAGCAGAACGTGGTAGAAAATGACGAAAGGGATATTTCTCATTGAATACAAATATACCAATGTTACTATATTTCTTAAAGTTACAAAGCTTTGAGGATAAGTACAATTTATGAGCGCCTGTCAGCGAGCAACCCGCGTCATACCAGTGAATTTCGGGTTGCTCTTTGACAGGCGCCCACAAATAATATTTTATTACTGAAAATTCAAACCAGTTACATAAAAAAATGAATCAACCTGCGTATATCGTATAACATAGCTTAATCAACTATAATTAATATCTGTTTAAGATGTTAACGTGATATTTAATTTTTGATAACCGATCTGGATCAATCTCTGATCTGTGATTTCAGCATGCGAGGGACAGGTTTCCTATCCAGCCATGCCGACGGGAGCATAATAAAGTATCACTTAACCGAGGACGGGAATCACGAGCCTTCGGGGCGTATCTGCACGCACACGGTGCCGGCGTACGCGCTAGCTTGGACTCAATGTCACGTCATGGCCGCGGGATGCGACAGGCGAGTGGCATTTTACGATTCTCGTGGAAAGCTGGTGAAGAGTTTCGATTACAGCCGCGAGAACGAGAAGGAGATAGCGTCAGCTTGTTGCAGCCCCAGCGGGCAGAGCGTTGCCATTGGTTCCTGGGACAAGATAAGAATCTTGGACTGGAGTCCACGACGCTCTGTCTGGGAGGAGGCCAATTCCAAGGCCTTGCCCAACTTCTACACCGTCACCGCGATATCCTGGCGTCGCGACGGCTCCAGGTTTGTCCTCGTTCGTCGAACGATCATCTCCTCGCTTTATTCCCCACCCTGTTATCATCCTTTGCACGCAGGCTGCTGGTGGGTAGCCTCTGCGGCGCTGTAGAGCAGTTCGAAACAGTGCTGAAGAGAACGGTGATACGAGGCAGCCACGAGGTAGCGTACGTTGGACCCAGCCAGGTGGTGATCCGACCACTGAACGAGGGTAATCGACCGGTGATTGTCAGGTCTCAGACTGGTTACGAGATAGAGGACGTGAAGGTGCTCGGGAGGGCTGACAACAACGTAGTCGCACGCACAGCCAACACCCTGCTGCTTGCCGACATCGAATTGAACCTAATCAGCGAAATCCCTTGGGATGACAAGAGCAACAATGAGAAGTTCTTCTTCGAGTATCCGAGGGTCTGCCTCATCTTCTGCTCCGGCGAGCTGACTATAGTCGAGTACGGGAACAACGAGGCGTTGGGCTCAGTGAGGACAGAAGCGGTGAATCCTCACGTGGTCAGTGTGAGGATCAATGAGAGACAGGCCCCTGGAGCAGCAGACAACAAGAGGCTCGCCTACCTGTTGGATCCAAGGACTGTTCGTATCATGGATCTGATCACTGGCCTCACTATTGCCATGATTTCTCACGATGTGCGGGTAGATTGGTTGGAACTTAGCGAGACTGGCCACAGGTTGCTGTCTAGGGACAAGAGAGCCAGGTATATTTATGGGCAGATTTCGTTGGTTTGCGTGTATTTCATAATGAGATTATCCTTTGTCATTTAATCCTTTCGTTTTCTCTTTCATATGATTTATTAAAGTAGGTAGGTAAGCCAGACAATTATTCCATGTGGAATATTGGCATCAGTGAGACAGCCTAATAGAATTGGAAATAAGATATAATTGGCAATGATCTATAGAATTATGCGCTATTTATTATTGCAATATAATTGAAGGAAGTATTCAAGTATCATGACTTTTCTCTGGTAACGTTATACAAATTTCGAGAACAGAAGTATCCTCACTTCTCCCACTCGTTACATAACGTAGAATTGTCTGGAGGAAAAGAGAGATACAGGGAACTAAAAGTAAAGACTTTATGCTTTGAAACGAGATCAAGCGGAAGGTTGTACGATTTTTTTTCACGAAATTATAATAATTTAAAGTATTGGCGATTTTTCATCCAATGTGCGAATACTTTTGTGAGCTGCTCTACATACATTTCAAAATTTGAAATTTTTAAACAAGCACAAATAGTACAAAATATAGAGGGCAGAAAAATTCTGGATCCAACTGGATAAATATAACTATGAAAGATTACAAATTAATCTCCTCCATTAATTGTTTTCCTAAAATTGAAATCAGATCGAGTCAGGGACATTGAAATGCTAGCGCTGCGTAGCGTGAAATAGTGGAACTAATCGCTATTTTTAGTGTCTTTATCACACACACGTGCGTTATATATTCTTGTCGCGATGATATTGCGCTCTTTGTCTTTCACGCAGCGTATATCGATCCCTGTCGCACAGTAGTGCACTCCTTGTCTAACACCTGCATATATCT